TAATTTACTAGCTAGAAGACCCGTCTATGTACAGATTCATTATCCATCTAGCCTTGTCGATTTTATTTACATAGAAACACGATGGAACTAATATCCGCCGATTTAAATGAAACCGAGCTAAACAAATTCAGTTACGAATTACATTTTCTAGTCAACAACTAACAACCTCTTTATTAATTAACACACAAAAAATAGTTTACAATTATACGAATGGACTACGAGCATTACAAATACAAAAGCAATATCAATGTCACAACTAAAAGCTTTTTTTTTTGACAACGCAATACAAATTTCAATTATCAATTAAAAGCTTTCGTGTCGTCATTGACATATTAAAATTAATACATTATTCCGATTAAGAAAAAAAAAGATTTGCTAATATAAGACACGTAGTCATTTGATTCCACCCGTTCTGTGATGTGACATTAACCAGTGTATGTTACCGTAGCATGTCTAACACAGAAGCTAGAACTTCATTATGTCTGAGACTTCCTGAAATAGACCCGTCAGTTTAATTCCTCATTCAGCTCGTCTTGTCGTCCATTAGCGGTGGAGGGTTAAAACACACGGCGCTGTCGGCACCGCCTGATTGATGACGTCTTCGTCTGTGCACCGATGCACATCTCGAGAACGAATACGTCTAAGCCGGGCGCGGGGGGCACTTTTCCTGCCCCGTGGTGATCCTCAAATCAAGCCGTACGGCAGACGGATTACGCCGCCATTAAGGTAACGTTGGAATCGCGCCCTAACGCGCCATAAACCATCCACCTCCAGGCTTAACCCTTCCTCATCCAGCTTAACCCCGTTCCCCCACCTCCTAATAAGTTTTAAAAAATTAATCGATATATCGACCAGTTTAGGAAAATAAAAAAATAAAAAATATAAAAACTTCTGGTTTTATAATTTCCTTCTTACTTAACCAAACTTAATTTAATGTCATCAAAATTTCAATCAAATACCTCTCCCCTCTCAAACACACACTAGAATCTATTTTAAAAATTTAAATTCAATTAAAAAGTGGAGTTGGTTTCGATCTCGCTTGTATCAATTTAACGAACACGGGCCAGCGGACGTGGGAATGACGGGATGGTTTGGTGCGCATTGTCGCCCTGAAAGCCCAGCACTGGTCTGGTGCATGGAATCAAAGCGACGCGCTGGGGACCGGCACTTTAGAAGACATTAAGTCAAACCCTCGACCTACGGCTCGCCGAGTGACACAGCTACAAGTAAATTGTAGCACAAGGTTCGCTTTTAACCCCCGAGTCTATTGAGCGATAGATTACGATCAGACCAGGTAGATACCATCTCTCCATTAGGGGAGCAAAAAAAGGCGGAGCTACACAACGGAGCAGCTTTTGATTAATGCCCTTGATGAGTTGTACACCCCCACTCCCTCTCTCCACACATACATACACTCACACACACACACACTCACACATACACACCGTGTCTCTCTCGTCAATTCTGTATCTAGATTAAGAAGCAATTTAAAAAATAAAATAAAATAAAAACCTTTCGATTGACTTTGATGTTAAAGCTGGAATTTTTATTGCCCCTGCTGTGGGGAGGGGAGCGGTAGGACCAAATGGCGACTTCCCAGTGGGAAAACAACCACGTGACTTTAGCCGGAACACTTGCCAGGTAACACAGTAGAAATTGTACACCCCGCCATTGTTCAGTTGTTGGTGTTTTTTTTTTTGTCACATTAAGGAAATAATTGAAAAGGTGGATTTTGTGGGGTAAAAAATATTTAAAAAATGGCCAGAAAACTATCTGGCAAGTCCCACACTTCCTGGACATATAAAGTCACGTGGACAAAATTTAAATATGAGGTTAACATTATTATATTATTGTTAAAAATCTCATAAATAAGGAACCGCTGAGTTCAAAAGGGTTACTTTTTTATCTCATAAATAACGGTACATTTGCGACCTACCGCTACTTGGTATTATAATCTAGAGCAGGGGTCTCCAAACTTTTCAGCCCGAGGGCCGCATTAGCTATCACATATCAGTTCGGGGGCCAGAGTTTCTTTAAGGCATCTCTTCAGGGTCGTGGCGCCCCCCCCCCCCCCCCCGAAGAACGTCTACCGCCCCTGCCCCCCCCCCCCCAACGAAATATAATTTATATAGAAATATATACACATTTTAAGTGTCCACCACCCTCACCCGAGGTCCACGTTTATTCTCAAATTGTTCTTCACGTATTTCATTCTTGAAAATGTTTGTTCACACAGCATGTTGTTCGAAAATTTGAAAGGTACTTTGATGCAAAAGTTTTAATGTTAGGAAAGTCTTCCTTGTGCGAAAACGTATGAAACCCCATCCGCCCTTCTTTGAACATCTCTAAGGAGGTCAGTTACTTGCAAATCAATGACATAAGGTGCAGTTCATCTTTGAAACTGGCCACATTTGCTTCAAATGGGCTTTGAAACAGTCTCACTTCTTCTGACTTTGAATCCAAGTCAGAAAACCGCTACTAAAACTGCAGCTGGAGGTCTTTGATGATCTCGTATGTAAATGACGTGGGGAACTCAGCCATGAAGACCTTGCACTGCTGAAAGTGTGTCAAGTTGTTAGCCTGCATCTGTTCCAAAAACATGATAAGTTTGTATCTAAAGACCTTTAGGTGGGTGTATAGATCAGAAACTAGATTTCACTCTCTTGTAGTTTTAGGTTCAGAAAATTTAAATGACTAGTTATGTCTGCAGCAGAGGCCAATTACCCAATCTTCATCAGACAATAATGGATGTGACTTGCCTTTACTATCAGGAAGTCACCTATTTCTTTTCTTTGATACGCTGCTCAGAATTTTCTCGCAAAATTAGCAATCTAACTGATGTGATTTTGTGTTTGTCTCTGAACTATTTATGGTTAGATATCCTCTCCGGTAACAGTGTCATACATTATATGTAGGGAAGCCGGCTCTTGTGTTATGTTCATGTCTTCATCCACACCTCTAATGAACACAAGAAGTTGAGAGATGGAACAGCTGCCCAGCGACTCATCCATTGCAATTGAAAAATGGCGAAACTTGCTTGAATTTTTCGCTATTTGAGTCACATTTTTTTCACTAATATCTGCAACACGGCGAGTAATTGTATTTGCACCCAAAGATATATTTTCAAATAGTTTTGAATTTTCTGTGCAACGCTCCTCAGCCACCTACAACAAACATTTATTCAGTGGACAAAAAGATCGTCGCGGGCCGGATAAAATGACCTCGCGGGCCGCATCCGGCCCGCGGGCCGTAGTTTGGAGACCCCTGATCTAGAGGAAACGCCCGGCATAATTTTTGCGTATTTTATATATGTTTATTATTGTAACGGACACATCTCAGATAAAATTACGGTTAACCATAATCGTAAAACAGAAATAAAGCCTAATAAAGCATGTATAATTACGTTCTGAATCTTACAAGTCCGTACAAGACCTAGAGTTGCGTCCCTTTAAATTTTGGTAGCGCGGCTCCAAAACAAAGCGCAACTTTTAAGCCGCGGTAAACGAGTCGCGCTTATTCCACTCGAGAAACATAACCTGAAGGGAGACATTTTGTAGCTGTAGACAACTCAATGGACGGCTACGACATCATTTATGGACGGCCACGATATCCTTTATCCCCTTCCCAGCTGGACGGCTTTGTCGACGCTCTCGAAGTTTCTGTCGGAAAAGAGACCGACGGTGGGGTATGGCTCTGCGGGTGTCCGCGCCTTATCCAGGGGTCCAGCGCGATGGTACACGCGATCAAATCCCTTTCAGGCAGCCGTCTGTACAAAGGGCTATTAAGAATCCGTATCGTTGGTCTGTTATTGAAATGTGCATTTACCAACCCGCGCGATACCGGTGTGAAAATGGCGGAATATTACTCGAGTTTTTGTATTTTTATTTTTTTGCCTTGTACGTCCAACACGGAGCATACAGACACACGGTGATGTTGTATGGCTATACCTAGGTAAAGCTACGTTCATGAAGTGTCTCGGTAAGAAGAAGTCACATGATCAATTAGGTCAAACAAAACGCTGGTTTGTGGGTATTTTACGGAGGCCATGTTGAAAATACGTCATTGTTTGTGTCACAGGTACATACGTCACTACTCCGCGTCATAAGCAACCGGAAGTTTGAAAACGAAACGTTAAACAAAATAAAGCTCAAATGTATCGACCGATGGATACACACGTGTAATTGAGATGGGTAAAAAAGATCTGTTGTTGTCATGGTGACGGACGGCAACAGAAAAGTCACAAGGCCGCCGTAAGCAAGCCATTTTACAAGATTAACCTCGGAGATTCTGTTACAGCAGTAACAGGACACATACAATGACAATGGTCAAATCAATGACCTCCCCACCCCAGTAACCAACTCGCTGGTCAGAATATTTGCCAGAATGATGACCATTAAAATGGAAAGCTCAGTCGCCTGTCTGCACCTAAACGTCACGGACAATGCCAATGAACGAGGATACTGACGAGACCAATGGTACATTATCGCAGGTTTAAATATTGGGACTTGGCAGGACATTGACCACCCAGTGGTCAGTACACAGGAGGACATTGACCAGCAAACTCACCTATTGATGGAACTAACACACTGTCGCTAGAATACACGTTAATACTGACCACCACAAATGACCACACAACTGACCACACCAACTGACCACCTAACCGAGCACCTAACTGACCACACAACTAATCACATAAGTGACCACACCAACTGACCGCACCAACTAACCACACCAACTGACCAAATAACAGCCCCCACCAACCGACCACGCCCGTACTCACCTATTGATAGAACTAACACTGGGCACATTGTCGCTAGTGCACACGTTGTCACTGACCACACCAACTGACCCCACCAACTGACCACACCAACTGACCACACCAGTACTTACCTATTGATAGAACTAACACTGGGCACATTGTCGCTCGTGCACACGTTGTCACTGACCACACTAAATGACCACCCCAACTGCCCCCACCAACCGACCACGCCAGTACTCACCTATTGATAGAACTAACACTGGGCACATTGTCGCTCGTACACACGTTGTCACTGAGCAGCTTATCCCTGATCTCCCATGCGAACATGGTGGGGTTCTCCTCCTTGTACTTCGTGATGGCCTTGACCACCATAGGCGTCGCCACCTTGGGCTTGGAGCCCCCGATAACTCCAGGTTTGATGGAGCCAGTCTCATAGTACCTGAACACAGACAGAAAAAATACATTTATAAATAAATAAATAATTTATGTCTGGGTAAATAAGTATAGGGGCTGTTACTGAAATAGTAATATAGGATACAAAGTGTTGTCTCAAGGCAGAGGTAGACACAGATACAAAATAATAATCATTAAAAAAGTTTTAAAAAACCCACGTTTTCTGATTGAACTAAAAAGTAGAAAATAAATACTATACATCACAATAATGCAAGCGATCACTCTACTATAAGCTATCAAAAACGTGGGTCGCCGAAGTAAAAGTTATATTACTATTGATTAGATAATACTATTGACTTTTATTAGGGAGCTTGTAGAGAGTCAACAGTATTAGAAACTGTAAGAAAATCACGGCGCCCCACGTTTTTGATAGCTTATAGTAGAGTGATCGCTTGCATTATTGTGATGTATAGTATTTATTTTCTACTTTTTAGTTCAATCAGAAAACGTGGGTTTTTTAAAACTTTTTTAATGATTATTATTTTCTACTTTTTAGTGTTTGTCTGTTTGTTTGCATGTAAATCTTGCTATCGATTTTATCTTTTCACTTCTTTTTTTTTGGGTAAACGAAGACAACTCGTAAAAAGACAACTCGTAAAAAGACAACTCGTAAAAAACACGTTGTGTGAATACGTTACTGACTAGAACACATAGATTTGAACCCGTGTCGAGTGGGATAGCAATCGTGTGCCCAACCACTCGACCATATCGTCTCCCCCATACTGGCCACCAGTTGTTACGTTATGGTTGTTTGTACACAAACACAGCGTGACAACTACTCAGTTAGCAAAAAGAGGGGGAGTGCCGAACCTTGTTTTCATCAAATTACAGTTACTGGGTAATGTCCCTTTTCCCCCACGTTTTTTGGTACAATTATATAGCGGTCTAAAATGATCAATAAAATGTTTCCATGGATTAATTTAGTAATAATAACAATTGAATATTCAATGGTCATCCAAAAGAAAGCTTCCCTGAAAATTTCAGCGCGCTAGCTAACTGGGAAGTGCCAGAAATTTCGATCGCAAGATTGGATTGGAAAGACAAACACAGAAAGACACAGAGAAAGCAAGTTAAAGAAAACGTGGGAAATACAGTCTTTGTGAAGACAGAACAGTTGTAGCCAGAAGGGAGTTGAGCCCATCACTCCACACAGCACAACACACGACACTAATGAGATTTTAAAAGCACCTCTTTAATCAACTATTCTGCAACTAAAATCACGATTTATTTCTTTTAACTTGTGTTCAATAAATACAACGACATGAAATATGTTTTTAAGGATAATCCTTATTAATAATTAGTGCACACAGACTATGTTCTTTAAGTAAAAATTATGACTGTAGATTTATGAGCACGTGATACTTTTTAAAGAAATTGTTAATGATCAATTTTATGAAACTTTAGTTTGTTTGTAAACTATCTAAATTTTAAACTTGGTGATTATTTAATGGTTTTAATTTTTTAACCATACATATGTTAATATTTAGATATTAAAAAAAAATGTTTAAAATAGTTTTCAACGTTGTAATGATTTTAAAGCTTGCCTTAATGGTCTTTCTTTCCCAGCTGTTATTATAAATCGCCCAAATTGATTTCTACTACAATCAACAAAATAAATAAATAAATAAATATAAAGCTCATATTCGCCCCCTCTTTTTGAAGTCCCAAACAGCACCTTGACATTTGTGTCAGTGACGTCACCAGCATGCGACGCCACGAGCGGACAGCACGTGCGAACACGTAATGACATTGTACAGCTCCCTCCCGGCCAACAACAACACAAAAATGCCAAATTACACTAATTATAATTTTTCTAAAAACGTCTCAAGCACCGCCCTAATAGAGCTCACCGGTCGACAAAAGCCGGCACGCGACCGGCGTACGGTCCTACTTCATCCGCAGCAGCTATTGTATATTTTTCTACTCTTTTATTTCCGTGTGTGTTCGGGCCGATCCTAACCACAATATTTGACTCAACACACACGGAAAGACCACGGGAACTTGTCTCAAATTGTGACCTCTGCTGAAACCAGTTTGATCACTCACGCTAAAGACTGCACATGTTTTTCATATGGGTGCACTAGTTAATTTACGTCCCATAGAAAAGAGCAATATCTTTTAGTTTTAACGAAACAAAACGAAACAAAAAACCCCAAACTACTGAAGCAGCTTTACAATGGAGGAACAAAAAAGACGACGTTTTTTTTGTGAGAGGGGGGAGCAGGGGATAACGTTTCGACATTTTGTCTACCTCAGCCACTCCCCTCTTTTGTCGTCCTGTCAGAAAAGATGAGTACCGCATTGTCAGCCCTCCCCACGAGAGCGAGCAGGGACCAAACAGCACGACATGCAAGCGAGCGCGAGCGCCGTATGCCATATGGCCGTGTGTCATTTGGCTGTCATGTCTGACCGTGTCAAAGTCTGCTCTAAACCATCCCGGACAGGACAAATGATAGGTTGTCGGGGCGCGGTACGTCTAAAGGCCCCAGGAACTCTACCACAAGCCCTTGTGGTGTGGTCTTCCTTTATTTGACACAACAAAGACGGCAAGCTAGCGACGGTAGTCCAAACACAGAAGTCGAAACTGCTATAACAAAAAACATAAAAGTCGAAACTCATATGACAAAAAACATAAAAATCGAAACTTCTATAACAAAAAAACATAAAAGTCGAAACAGCTATAACAAAAAAAAAATTCGAAACTAAAATTAGCTCAGAATCTAAACTTCTCCAACAAATAATACTTGAAAGTGGAAATTTCTCTTAAAAAAAAACTATAAATCGACATTGATCTAAAGAATAAAGAAACCAACTAAAGAGCGGATACTACTGGAGCAAAAGAACGTACAAGTAATTACAAATCGTGATGTGTGGGAGTCTGCGTCACATTTTTTAAATGCGGGTCCCCATCTTTTATGCCCGTGTTTTGTGTAGGCGAACAATTAAACTCGCTTTAAAACAAACCAGCATTAAAGTTTGAACGCACGTAGGCGGGAACCGACGCTATGATACACACCAAACGTGGATGTTCTCATTCGCAATTTTAATTAAAATTGTTGTGTGTGCTAGCCTCGGGGCAGTCGATTAATTAGATAACTAGTCTTTAACTTCTCACACTTCCACTTGATTAGGTTGTAGTTTAGTTTGTAAGACAAGCACGATCGTGTCAACTTTTTGGCGAAGGTTTCTTAAGATATCGTGAGTTAGACATGAATGGCGCACGTTTGCTATTGGTTATGTTACTCATCAGCTGGGTCACGTGGTGGAGAAGGACGAAGTGGGTACGGCAAACCGGATTGAGATGGTCGATGGACAGGTAGAACAACAGGGACGTGAAGAAGGGGAGCCCAGGCGAAGTTACGGGGACGTGGGAGTTCAGGGGAGGGATAGAGAGATTGGATTGTGGTTTCGGTAGTCAACAGTGGGGCCTAGAGTAGGAGCTGCTAAAGATGTTCCTAGACTGGGTACCTAGGCTAAAGTGGTGCCCAGACTGGGTAGCTAGGCTAAAGTGGTGCTTAGGCGGAGAGCTAGGCTAAGGTTGTGCCCAGACTGGGTAGCTAGGCTAAAGTGGTGCCTAGGCGGAGAGCTAGGCTAAGGTTGTGCCCAGACTGGGCAGCTAGGCTAAAGTGGCGCCTAGACTGGGTAGCTAGGCTAAGGTGGCGCCCAGACTGGGGCTAGGTTAAAATGGTGCCCCTTTATGTGACTTACAGTGGCATCAAGCACATCATCAATACAAAACCATTAACTGCTTGTTAGGTTGTGTCGATGTACAAGTTGGTACTTGGTCTAGCTAAACTAAATGTGAATATACTAGTACCAGCCCCGTCTGTAGCTAGTACCAATGTACTAGTAGGTAGCTGGCCAAGCTGATTTAAGAGTATTTATACTAGTACCAGCCCCGTCTGTAGCTACTACCAATGGAGCGGTCGGTACTATAAACGAACGACAGCGCCCCCTGTACCCACACGACAAAGATGAACAGAACCGTTGACCCAGCAGCACTGGCTACACCAGCAGACGATCACAGAACTAATTCTAAAGTATTCCATTTTTTAATTTTAAATCCACTTTAATAACACAGCTTTTATCTTGGGAAGAACATTCGGCTTGCCCGCGATATTGACAAACAATTAATTGCGAAAAGAAATTAGAAGATAAAAAAAACCGAAAGTTTTAAATTGATACGTGCACGGAGTAGAGGATGCGAGACCCGGAGAGTGATAGTTTTCCCGCCCCGCTCGCCATCCGCAAGTCAATTGAAAACACTTGTACCTATCAATTGCAATGATCATTTCATCCAATGCGCATGCTCAGACCCAATAAATCACGGTCTACATTATAATTAGATCAGGGGAAGATAACCGCAGGCGGCGGTTGCAGTGTGTAGCGCGACAGTTGTGGGGGGAGGAGCAGCAAAAATCCCACAAACCACATTTTGTAGAGAACCCGGGGAGACAAAGTATAATTATTTTTAATGTGCCGGCACCGACAATTAAATTCCAGATTAATTTTTAATGTGATAATAACATAATACAGGAGGGTAAAAATTCCCCAACATTGTAATAACGTACATTGATTCATGCATTGACGGTTGTTTTGTTTTTATTCTTGTTGGGGCATGACGTGGTTTTTGGGGACCGACCCCGCCCTGTCTTGAGAAATATATTGGCCACAGATTATGGGTTGTTTGTGGCTCGTAGAATATGGGTTGTTTGCGGGTTGTAGAATATGGGTTGTTTGCGGGTTGTAGAATATGGGTTGTTTGCGGGTTGTAGAATATGGGTTGTTTGCGGGTTGTAGAATATGGGTTGTTTGCGGGTTGTAGAATATGGGTTGTTTGCGGGTCGTAGAATATGGGTTGTTTGCGGGTTGTAGAATATGGGTTGTTTGCGGGTTGTAGAATATGGGTTGTTTGAGGGTTGTAGAATATGGGTTGTTTGCGGGTTGTAGAATATGGGTTGTTTGCGGGTTGTAGAATATGGGTTGTTTGCGGGTTGTAGAATATGGGTTGTTTGCGGGTTGTAGAATATGGGTTGTTTGCGGGTTGTAGAATATGGGTTGTTTGAGGGTCGTAGAATATGGGTTGTTTGCGGGTTGTAGAATATGGGTTGTTTGCGGGTTGTAGAATATGCAAGTAGCGGAGAGCGCTCTCTCTGACGAGAAAAGCAGGTGTGCAACAGTGTACCCTCTAAGCTGCGCGGTTGCGCGGCCGCGCAGTAGTTTTGACATGCCGCGCATTGATTTTGTAAAATAAATATATCCTTTGTATATGACTTTTAGAACATAGCACACAGAAAATACATTTTGCATACTAGCTTTTCCCCCTGGAATGTTGTTGTGCAACATGTATTGTGTGTGCGCGGTGCTCTGTAAGGCTCTTACAAGTTTACTTGGATTTTATACAATGACTGTGCGGCATGTTTATAACTATGAAGCATCCCAGAGGGACATTGGCTACTGAAATATGCAGTTTTTGGCTAGAGAAATATGTAACGTGTTATGTTAGTCAATTTAGTTTTGCTTTATAGACACATTTGAAATATAGATCACACTTGTATGTGCTGCGGATATCATGGTAATATTTTATAATTGTGGGCCACACAAAGAGTGTGGACCGCGCATTGCTATAGCCAGCTACCTTGTTTTAGCCTCTGATATAAATATTTGAGCTGCAGACCACTGGTACACCTACTGTGGTAAAGGACAGACCACTGGTATACCTACTGTCTTAGGCTAGACCACTGGTACACCTACTGTGGTAAAGGGGAAACCACTGGTACACCTACTATTGTAAAGGGCAGACCACTGGTACATCAGCTGTGTACGGGGAGACCACTGGTACATCTACTATTGTAAAAATATGAACAGCCAAGCTGGCACGATGCACAGCTACAATGTACAGGTCAACTGCTGTCGCTGACCCCTAACTTTAGCTTCCACTGACTGTAACGACCCATCTCCAGATCGAGGCTGATGATTCTTGTCTTCACGATCTGACCGTTTAGCTCTGACAATAGAACAGAGCTCAGATAGCCAACCGGAGCCCCGGCAATAGACCGGCATGAGACCGGCATTAGACCGGCAGTCTGATAGGGATCTCAGCCGATCGCTAATGTGTGCATTGGCTGTGCAACCCAATTAAAGGGGAATTAATTAAGGCTGCCCCTGACAAGCCTTACACTTAAAAAATTTCTTCACCAACAGAAATTTGGGGATGGCAAGGGGAGGGAACCAGGGAATCCCAGAGCTCCTGACGCGAGTGGTTATTTTATGTTCCCTGGTTAGCCCCCCTTTTCTCTGATGGCTTCTCTGTGACAGGAGTTTGACGGCTGAAGACTAGTCCCCAAAGGTACGGACGCTCCAGCGAACGTTCGAGATTTTCTTTGGGGGTAATGTGTTCAGAACTACACACCACTTCTCCTAAACCCGAACATCCAGATTTATTATAAAAATTTGATTATATGATTCTCTTTTCATTTTTAATAACAGCAATATTTAAGATTTTATTTTGTTTTGCGAAAACTCAGAAAGATGCATAGGACTCTAAGTGACTAGATAAGCTTGAAAAAAAATACAGTGAGATTTTCTGAGAGAGTGATTGGATGAGAAATACGACAGCTAGATAAACAAATAGAAGATCAGAGTCGTGGAGAGAAAGATGGGAGATGGAGAGAAAGACGGGAGATGGAGAGAAAGAGAAGAGAGTTTCCCACGCGAGCGAATCACGCAAAAGCTTCCGTAGACGGGAAATAGAAGCGTCAAAAAACAAGGGACACGACTCGCGGTAAAAACAGGACACACAACTCGTGCCTTTAATCAAATTATCCACTTTCGCACAATTGATGGGGTGTGGGGGTATGGAGGGAGGGGGGGGGGGCTCACATTAATGGAGGAGGATGAGATAGGGAGTGTTGTGGGGTGACAAGAGGGACGGGAGGGTGGGGGAGGATGCAGCGATTGGAGTCGATAGTTTTGTCAGCTAAGATGGCTTGCATTGATTAGCTGATGAGGAGGACGGCAGGAGACGATACGGACCGAGAGGACGGGAGGCGGGAGGATAAAATGGGAGGAAATCAAGGCAGAGAGGAGGGGTGTTAAAAAATAATTACATGAGAGTTGTTCTGTTAAAAAAATTAACTTGGAAGATCGAATGTTGTAAAATCTATGTATAAATTCAATACTTTAGAAATCATCCTGTTGATTTAATGTTTTAAGTTCGAATTAGGGTTTGATGTTTTAAAATAGTTTTGAGTAAAATCACCTTAATTAAAAAAAAATAATTCAAGTGTGCATTGTAGTAAAAAATATAGGCCTACGGATAGCAATATAAACACCAATCGTGTTTTCTCGGAAAGTAAACGTTCATTTGTAATTGTTTTAGCGACTAAGTGCTGTGAATTTTGGAGACACAAAACCAAGAGGAAAACTAGAATATATAGATTCTAGCCATTCACGACAATACGAAAACATGCCTAGCGCCTGTATGCTCCACTTCAGATATTGCCTATTTTTTTTTTATACCTGCCCCAACCTGTCTCGACCAAGAATATGTAAATATATAACTTTTAAATTGGCACTTAAATTAAATTAATTGGTTGAACTTGATGCGATTCACTATATAAATATTAAATGACAGGAAATACAATCAGCTACTGGCCCTGAACATGAATTACGTGAATTATTTAGTGGGTCAGCCGTAGCGGGCTAAACAGCACACGGTGTCTGTGTGTATTGGTGTTAGCGAGTATGGTTGTATGTGTGTGAGTGAGTGAGTAACTGTGTGTGTATTAGCGTGGGTGTTTGTAAATGTGTTTCCAGGACTGTGTATTAAGGATTAGTGTGTTGGAATGTAAAAGCTCTGTGTGTAAATTCTATGAAAACTTTGTACTGTAACCAAATTAGAAGACTGACCTAAATTGTTCAATTAGCGTTCTATTTTTAGTCGCTGTGTGTTTACATCGTGAGTGTAAAACCGGTGAAGCTTCGATTATCAGTGAGTTAAACTGATGGTTAATCAATAACTGGATGTTTAACAGACTACCTGGTGCTTATTTTACTGGTTACAACAACATGTCTTTAGTTATACACACACATACACACACACATTAATGTTTAACTTCCAAGAAATTTGAGCTCATGGGTAAGATGTCAACAGGTCAGCAAGTAGCAACTGACCACAGTATGACTTGCATCTCTTCACTCAACCATTATCTTCCACTCTGTCCGGTCCCCGACTGGACCACGGCATAAGAGTATGGAATCCCATTGTTCAAGACGCCAGGCACCGAAATAGTAATCGACCTAACTGACCATCGTGTACACGCGTAAAGAGGTGACCTATAGTGTACTCACCTTCCTCAAATTTTGCTCACTGGCCGACGTGTACAAATGTCATGCACGCGAAAAAAAAAGATGACATATATGGTACTCACCTTCCTAAAATTTTGCTCACACAGCCGTGGCTGACCCGGAGCTGTCTGGATATATCACAAGGTCGAATGCCGGCGTGAGCAAGTTCCACAATTTTTGACCGGACAATGTCCGGCAGAGGCCGGCCGTTGACGAAGACCCCACCAAGTTGGTTAACACCTCCGTGACCTGTGGAGGAGAGAAGTGGAGCATGTAGCGTGTGGTGTAGTTGGGGGGGGGGGGTCTGTAGACGTGTGGCTATTTCACCTGTGGAGGAGAGAAGTGGAGCATGTAGTGTGTGGCTATTTCACCTGTGGAGGAGAGAAGTGGAGCATGTAGTGTGTGGCTATTTCACCTGTGGAGGAGAGAAGTGGAGCATGTAGCGTGTGGCTATTTCACCTGTGGAGGAGAGAAGTGGAGCATGTAGCGTGTGGCTATTTCACCTGTGGAGGAGAGAAGTGGAGCATGTAGCGTGTGGCTATTTCACCTGTGGAGGAGAGAAGTGGAGCATGTAGCGTGTGGCTATTTCACCCAACAGCATTGTGGTTGTGTAGTTGGAGGAGAGAAGTGGAGCATGTAGCGTGTGGCTATTTTACTCAACAGCACTGTAGTTGGAGGAGAGAAGTGGAGCATGTAGCGTGTGGCTATTTCACCCAACAGCATTGTGGTTGTGTAGTTGGAGGAGAGAAGTGGAGCATGTAGCGTGTGGCTATTTTACCCAACAGCACTGTAGTTGGAGGAGAGAAGTGGAGCATGTAGCGTGTGGCTATTTCACTCAACAACACTGTGGTTGTGTAGTTGGAGGAGAGAAGTGGAGCATGTAGCGTGTGGCTATTTCACTCAACAACACTGTGGTTGTGTAGTTGGAGGAGAGAAGTGGAGCATGTAGCGTGTGGCTATTTCACTCAACAACACTGTGGTTGTGTAGTTGGAGGAGAGAAGTGGAGCATGTAGCGTGTGGCTATTTCACTCAACAACACTGTGGTTGTGTAGTTGGAGGAGACAAGTGGAGCATGTAGCGTGTGGCTATTTCACTCAACAGCTTTGTAGTTGGGGGGGGGGGGGGTCTGTAGACGTATTGCTATTTCACCTAACAGCACTGTAGTTGGGGGGGGGGGAGTCTGTAGACGTGTTGCTATTTCACCTAACAGCACTATAGAGGTGTAGTTGGGGGGGGGTGTCTATTGTACCTTGCAAAACTAGGTGTGTAGAAGAGGGGGGGGTCACCCATTTCACTCAACAGCTCTAGGGGTGTGGTTGAGTGGGAGAAGGGGTGGGGTCTGTAGGTTTGTCAATATTTTACCAAACGTCGACAGGGGTGATAGTGAAATGGGCTGAATCTGTACGCCTGTTAATAATTAATACAACATCCACACATGTGGGGATAGAGTGAGTAGATCTGGTGTTGATATGGTGGGGGGGGGGATTTGTAGACGCTTTACTATTTTACAAAGAATGATTGTGTGAGGTAAGAGTGTTACTATTACACAGAATAAGAGGGGTGGGAGTTAAACAACAATTTAGAGAAATAAAAATAAAAATTAAATAAAATATTTTTTTGCTTCTAAACCCCATTTCCATGTCATATTTCACTCAATTATTCATCAATGCATGCCCGCCGTTGAGGGACCCTAATACATTTTAAAATATGTATTATCTCACTCGCTTTATTAAACATTTAGTAATGCTAATAATTCCTAATGTTTTTACCCTAATAAAGCATATGTGTTAGAAGTGTTCCCAGAATTTGCTAGAAATCAACTGGTTCGATTCCTCAGCTATATCAAATATATTTTTCTACTGAAACTTGTTGCTGAAAAATGTAATGATTTGTGGCAATACCTGAGTTGAAGTTATTTCGACTATTGAATATAATTTCAAAACAACGATTACAATTTTTTCAATCAAAATCTTAAAAAAAAAAAAAACACTGACTGGGGGGAGGGGGGGGGGGGGGGTAGAAGAATCCCATCTCTTTAAACTTTTATTTTTTTTCCTATAGTGTTTTACAATTAAGTGAATTTATTACATTTCAAATTAGAATCAATTCAATTACAAGGTTTTTTTTTTTGTCACTCAAATTCTCAGAAACATGACTATAGTGAAAACAAAAAGCCTATCCCTTTAAATTTTCAGGTCTTAAAAAAAATTATACTGTGTAATACGATTTTGCTGTAGTGAACTTATTAAAACTTCAAAACTTGAATTAATTCAATTCCATGTTCTTTTCTTTCCCCAATCAAATCCGGGACTTGTACCTGGTACCAACATGATATACTGACTATTGGACAAAAAAATCCAACCTTTCAAACTTGCATGTTTCTTAAAATTCTACTAAAATGCATTAATTACAATTTAGTTTAAGTGAATTAATTACATTTTAGCTACCAAATAGGATTATGAAAAACAAAGTCGCAAATAATAATGTCAACACTATCCCCATATTCAATAGATTCGGATCATGATAGATGACATCCCCTAATTTAGCTTTCATCAACGGTATAGACATCGTGAAACATCAACATTACCAACAATCTCAATGAAAATAGTAAAACATTACTGGGTAATTCAACACATGACAAACATCAACATAAACAACAGCGTCAACAAACACTATAGAACATAAACACTGGATAATTCAATTTTAAACATACATCATAAAACATGAACATCATACTGTACTGGATAATTGAAGTCTCAACATACATCATAGAACATCAACATCATACTGTACTGGATAATTCAAGTCTCAACATACACCATTAAACAACATCATTACTGTGTAATTCAACGGTCTCAGCCCACATCATAGAGCATCACCATCATTACTGGATAATTCAAGTCACTACACACACCTCAAACACCAACATTCACAAACATCAACAGCATCGTACATGGCTGTGTAGGAACGTATCCCAGCACGCACCACACGATACTCTCCTTCTTCCCCCCCCCCTCCCACCTTTTTTGTTGTCTAATTACTTCACCATCAGGTCTAGCAGACGATAAGCTAAACACAGGAATTAACAAAAACAACACGTGGGTAAAAGACGGGGGGGAGGGGGGGGGGGGAATGTGAAGGGAATGTGAAGGGAGTATAACGGTAAAAACAATCTTACTGATGCTGGGTGTCATGAGAAAACAAGACTTGGCTCTCAGGGGAAACATTACTGACAGGGACTTAACTCTTTACGTCATCACATGTTAGTTTAATTAACGACTAATTTCGCGTTTACTGATCGATTTGAAAATTAGTTTCTCAAAATTGACCCATAAAAATTAAGCTAATAAGAATTTTAATTTTGGAGAGATAAGTGATATCGATTTTTTTAAAGTGTAAATATTTGTTCATATAATCTCCGAGCCAAGAACAAATGCATTTTTCATCCCCATTCTCATTGAATATGTCTGGTTTACAGCGAAACGTAGTTACTGAGGTCTCTGAGCAGCTAAATTGTTTTAAATTAAATTTAAATAAATTGTAAATTGACGCTGTAAATGGCATGTTAGAGCAGGGGTCGGCAATCTGCGGCTCGCGAGCCGCATGCAACTCCTTTGATATCAAGATGCGGCTCTCCAGCTCCTTGAACAAATACTAATAATCTTAATAAAAAAATAAAATATTTGAATTAAAAAAAAGTTAGTGGCTCTTTAAAACCAGGGAAATTTTGAAAATTGTAACTTTTGGCTCCTCCGCTTCAAAAGGTTGCCGACCCCTATGTTAGAGGCACACACAAATTAAAGCAATACATTTCATTAAATAAATATAAACATAATTTTTTTAAAAATAAGTTTATAAAGTTTAGTCTTTAGTTTGTCGTCGATTCAAATGAAAACAACTTTATTTTGTAGTTCCTAGAAACGTTCAATCACACGCAAGACGAGATGAAATATTTTGTTATTAGAAATATCTCACCAAACTACTGAACTGGGTTATGTATTGAATGTTGTCAACTTGCCTTACATCTTCAGAACGGTCGACACGGTAAAGGGGAGGGTACGAAGGTAATTTAACGCTGGCTACAGAAACCGCAGCGCCCTGTGGTCTGCAAGCTATGACATTCACGCACAACACCAGATTCAGAAGCGAACGTTGAATAGTCGTTGTCAGTCTCAATGGGGCATCGGCCACTCCAAGCTACCTGAATGGCCGGTGCTAGTAGGTGCCTAGGGGTTAGCTTTGTCAGGTAGATTCCTAAGGTAGGATAACTACATTAGATCCTTACGTGGGTTTTGTTAGCTAGAGTAGATTCCTAAGGTAGGATAATTACATTAGATCCTTACGTAGGTTTTGTTAGCTAGAGTACATTCCTAAGGTAGGATAACTACATTAGGTCCTTACGTAGGTTTTGTTAACTAGAGTAGATTCCTACGGTAGGTTTCGTTAATTATAACAGGTCTTTAAGGTAGGTTTAGTTAGTTATAACAGGTCTTTAAGGTAGGTTGCGATAGCTATAACAGATCTTAAAAGTAGGTTCCGTCAAGGTTGGAGGTCTACCCACTGTTAATCCTTAATGTTGGATGTTAACTAGATCAGAAAGGCTGGGATATGTTGACTTAAGTAAAAGCTTAATGCGGATTATGCTAACAATACCCCCCCCCCCCCGCCCTTGCAGTTAGTTCGAACGGGTAGGTAAGTCGTATATCAAAGATCAAAACTTAAAAGACAAGCAGATCAATAGCGGGGAGATTAAGACAACTTTATCGAGCGATCTGGTAATTAAAAACGAAATTGATTTCCTAAGTAGAAAATACATTAAAGCATAATCTCAGAAAGTTAAGTAACATTTTAAACTAGCTTATCCTAGATACACAGCGCAGGATAACCAAGTAACATTTTAAAACAACTTATCTAGATTCATGGCGCACAGTAACCAAGGCAAGAACAGTGTTGAATCATACCAGGTATTTTCCCTTGTTATAAGTTAAGCCAACACACTAATGTTATAAGATGCTGCAGTAATCGACCGAACAGATAGTTAATAGAGTTCTAGTTTTGTATAAACAGGGTGAGAATGGAACAAGATCTACCTAAATAGTAATCGAGTAGTCACAGGGGTGACGGCTACACTAAGCATATCAAGAAAAAGTTAGATGATAATGTGAGGGAGACATTGTCTCGAACTAGCATTGCACCCACAGAAATCTTATCTTAAAGGATCTGTGATACCATGTGATAGTTTGAACAA